TCCTCATCATTGAGTGTTGGGGCGTATGCGCTGATGACTGTGGCATATTGGTTGTTGCTGAGCTTGAGCCGAAGAGTCACGAAGTGCTCGTTGATCCCCACAGGAACCTCCAAAAGCCAACTGGCGATCTTATTTTTCATGGCAAAGCCAATCCCGTGAATGCGTCTCTCCTCAGGTGGCTTTCCTTTCCAAAAGAAGGTGTAGCCACCTCTCTCCTCTTTTAATTGGCCCTCATCAGCCTGGTGGGTCTCACTAAGAGCTGCAATGTCAATGTTGAGTCTTGCCAGTTCTCTGGCAATTATGGCAGTTCTTCTGTCTGGGCATTCACTGTGCTGAGAGTCCATAAGGGTGCGGACATTCCAGGTGGCGAAATTCATTGTCTTACAGCTCTTGTTTCTGCCGCGGAGTTGAGTGATCCCACTGGATATGACCATCCAGTCGGAAGAGTGTGAGACAGCCTACGTTTGGGGCACCTTTTCTAGCCCCCTCCCGATTTGGGGTGAGCAGAGGGGATCCTGAAAAGGCCTGCTCAGCCATAGCCGCTGCTGCCGAAATGCACTTCTGTCTCATCCAAGCACAAGACGACCATCACACGGCTTCCACCTGCGTGCAGAGTTGTGACTAAAGACTCCCAGAGATCACTGCTCCTGTCTTCCCTGCCACTCGTCTGTCGCCGCAGGGCTTTGTGTGGGTGTGAACCCTTTGGCAGAGGCCTGCATGTGAAATCTTTTAACGTGGGGAAACCAGTGCACAGACGGTGACCACAAGAGACTCGGCAGGAGGAAAACCCTGACCCAGTGGCAAGGAGATCCAAGACAACCAGGGGCCTCCCTCCTGCTGCAGCTCTCATCCACCTTCACAGCTGCCGAGTATTAAAAGGGAATAAATCTGCAATAAGCTATTACAATAAAATACTGTTTACTAAACTGTAAGTGATTGGACACTCATCTAACACTTTGCTAGCAAACCACCTTCTTGGTTTATCACTTTGCATAAATGTTTAACAAAGCAACGTCGTTTATGTTCAACTTCTAACGGGCTGCAAATATATCCTTCACTCAAGCCAGACTTTAAACGGTTCAGGGCAGAATGGGTTAGGGGAGGAAGAATGTGAGGTTTGTTACCCCAAACTGCTGAAGATACCTTATTGCAATATTAGCTTCATTAGTACATTCTGTTACACTGAAACAGACATTATCAAGGTCTACTGTAAAGTATTCTATAGGGATCCCTGATCCTGTGCCACGTGGGAAGTGATTTATAGCTCAGTGAAGAACCTTCCAAGCTAAGTCATTAGGTACTTGGTGTGGGGTTTTGTGGACAGGGCTGGAAGATTTCTATTATGTACCTTCCTGTATCCATCAGCTCCCTTCTCTCAGTAAAGAGCAGCAGCCATTTGCACCAGGATTCAAAAGAAGTCTCATCTTTACCTGCTGTGCTTCTTTTTTTTGCATTTAATTCTGTCTTGTTTTAAGAGAGTCTCTCTAGTATTATTTTTTAGTGATGTGATTATTGTAGGCTTTAATACTAGTCTTATTTGGGTGTAGCTCACACAGTTGTTTAGGCTGTACTTACAAGCACCCCGTTGGATGATTCAAGGGGAGCCACTTACATGGCCTTCCAGCACCAGTGTATCCAGGACCAACATCAATGCAAGGGTCACAACTGAGAAAGCACGGAGGTTTGACCTTTAGTCCATAAATTGACAAATGTGGCTCAGACCTTGGAGGGTAAGAGCAAGGGGTTCTAGAGACTGAATAGAGGCCTAATGTCTCTAAAATGACTTCAGATTACAGCTGGGCAGCATTTCTCAATATTGGGGAAAAAAGTAACTTGTTTTCTAACCAGCTCCTACTTTGGACAGTTACACTGTGGGTGGCATAGAGGAGGAAAAGCGAGTTCCTCCTTTTCCCCAAGGAGAGCCACAATGCCAAAGACATGCAATCGTTTCTTGATGGGCCAAGAAAAAACAAAATTCTTTGAATATTACATGCTGAAGGTATGGAGTCTATAACCACAAGCAACTTTCCTTCAGAGAAGGGAGCAGCCTAGACAAAGGAGTGAGCGTGTCATCTACCACCTCCGTTTTGGCGACCTGTTTCCATTAATCACAGCATTTCCTATTATGCAACACTATTTTGTAGCCAGGAAGATGAACATCTTCCCCTCTAAGGATTTTGCCTGTTGGATCTATAAGCCAGGACTGTATCATAAGATAGTTATTCTCTAGACCCTGAAGCAAAACAGATGGCTTAGAGAACAGAAGTTCTTAACTCACTTTTAAAACATGTGTTTCCTAAATAGTAGAAACTTCTTATAAGAACAGCCATACTGGGTCAGACTAAAGGTCCATCTAGCCCAGTATCCTGTCTTCTGACAGTGGCCAATGCCAGGTGCCCCAGAGGGAATGAACAGAACAGGTAATCATCAAGTGATCCATCCCCCGTTGCCTATTCCCAGCTTCCGGCAAACAAAGGCTAGGGACACCATCCCTGCCTATCCTGGCTAATAGCCATGGATGGACCATGAACTTATCTAGATCTTTTTTGAACCCTGTTATAGACTTGGCCTTCACAACATCCCCTGGCAAGGAGTTCCACAGGTTGACTGTGCGTTGTGTGGAAAAAATACTTCCTTCTGTTTCTTTTAAACCTGCTGCCTATTAACTTCATTTGGTGACCCCTAGTTCTTGTGTTATGAGAAGGAGTAAATAACACTTCCTTATTTATTTTCAATTATTCTTGATTCTGGCCGCTTAAAGATGAGCATACTGTTAAGGGCATCCACAGAAAGGCCTCGCTAATTTGTTCCCAGCTCCTTACTCAGCTGGCTCTGATGTTGCTCAATGTGATGGCGAAAACTTTTGTTAAAATTTATAATCTTAAAAAAAAAAAAAAACCCCAAACAAAAAACCCCACACTGTACAGACACAGTGAATACTTTTCTTTCCAGTAGCGACTGTGGCGTTTACCTGGTCAGAATGTGTTCAGTGTATGAAAATAAAAATCTCCCCTCCCCTTAATATCATACAATACAAAGTGGTCTAGTAATGCACTGGTTATGACTTGCAATGTAAAAGAGATTTGAGGAAAATACTTGAGCATTTCATCCTTGGACGACAGGACATGAAAAACAAGCGTAATGTGGCACCTGTAGCCCTTCATTACTCCACTCCTCCTGGCAACTTTATCGAGTACCTCTACCTTAGCAGTTGATATACTATGTAGAAAAATCCAGGATGTGAAGAGTAAGAATGTTTTTAAAAAATACTATGGTATTTTAGTGAGATGGCAGCATTATCCCACAGGGCATTTACCGCAACACTTAAGTGACCTGCAAAATCAGCTATGTAGGAGCTGGATGGTCTTTAAGATGTCAAACAAAACTGTATTGGAAATTTAAGGGGTATTTTTAAAGGAAGTCCGTTAAGAAAGGAATCCTCCCTACTGGAGATGCTCCTTAGTGCTGGCTTCACTGTATTACCTAGCACAAGAGAAACCGCTGAGTCAAACAAATTTTCCCATTGATTACACTGTAAGGGAAAAAAACTGACATGCGACGGCAGGAAAATATGCATTACAAAGTGGCTATCTTGATCCACAACACACACACTTCCCATCGAAAATCAAAGGCACAGTATGATAGAGCCCAAAATCTCTTTAGGAAAATGTGACAAAGCATTTTAAAAGGCCATTTTTATTTTCAAGATTTACTTATTGGCAGCTTTTTTCATGTTAATACAAAAGGCCAGTCAACATCTTCAGCAAATAATACATGATATCGAGCTGATTAATGCTAAGTTACAATGTATCACAGCCACAAAGTTACCGAGCGTTTTAGCCTCATTCAGGTCAATAAAACTGACACCAAACATTTAAGAATGATTTGCTATGTATGCGTCCAACCTCTTTTCCAACTTTGCTTTAACATCAATGTGTGAAGTCCAATGTATTATTAGAACATGGCACTAGAGGTGTAATATAACAAATACCACAGTGCTTCCACATTAGAGGTTTTATATAAAGAACTTGCCTAGGCAAATAATTATACATATATTGGAATCGGAGACTTAAGAGTACAAAGTAACAAGAAAATTAAATGAATCTATGGTCATGGATCCAAAAGCTACTATAATACAGAGTCGATGCCAAACTGGTACCGTGAATTGCTTCTCCAAGGTACAGTTTCATAAGATGATCACTGGATGAGTAAGACACAAAATGATTAACAACACCACTTGCTGCCATTTTCACTTAAGCTTAAAAAAACCCATACAAAATTGTATGCTTGCTTCTCAAGCAAGACCTGTAACTACAAGCTTTCATTACTCAAACACGCTGGACTGCCATCTAAACTGTGCTCTGCCTTTGAACCCTTATACATGATCAGTGCACGCACAATATTTTGGTCAGATCTGATCTGTTTACAACTCCATCAGTCAGTATTCTCAAAACTAGTTCATTACATTAGGAAATTACTGTTTACGGAGCTTTTTGGACTCAAGAAAAAAAGTCTTTTCACCCCCACAATTAACATCAAAGAAGCACCGTCCTTACCCACTATGTTCAGGCTGAGAAAAAGAGGTAATGATATTTTATGGACAGTGCTTATTAGCATACTTTCACTACTTACTCTAAGTTACACATTCAGAGGACAGTAATGTAATAAAACTAGGTTTGGTCTATGAAATATTCAGCTGAAGTACTAGCACCAAACGGAGTGACTAAGCCAGTATCCATATCTTTTTCCAAATTGTTGTTTGTTTGGAAATGTTGATATATATGTTTTTAATCCCAAGTTCATGAAAGTGCCTGCGGATGAAAGATATAACACTAATTCAAAACATACAATTGAGTCCTGCATCAGGATGCTGTGGGCATATACACATCCTAAGCATTCATTTGGCTGGCAGCCTGGAAGAATGCCAGTACTGTATAGTCCAAGACTTAAAGTTCATCTTTTTTTAAAAAGACCAAAAGCGTGCTGCAAAAGAGATCCTTCCGTATCATCCAGGGAGGCTGTTCTAATCTCCAACAGAAAGTGACGTAGCAGCCCATGCTCTGGATTTGAATGAGCGCCTTGTGCAAACTATTTTTCCTAACCAACTCCAGAGACTGCAAAAAAGATTAAACCATATTATATTCTGCTATGTTGACTTGCAGGTGGAGCGGCCAGCCTGCCATGCTTTAAGATCAGGAACCTGACTTAGGTGTGAGTCAGATGGGTCAAAGTGGCAGGAATTGCCTTCACTGAGATAAATCTCAGCAAAAAACCTCTTGGCCCTTTTGGGGTGGATCTTGGGCCAGCCCTCAATTGAAATTGCAGCAAGTCAAATAGCTGATACTTTTCCCCTCTCCTGGTAATGGGGATGCCACATTGTTCACAAGCGTATTCTGTCTTGCCTCACTGATCAGCCGGCAAGCTAAGTCCAGAAAGAGTTTTTCCACATTATCCGATTCTTTAGCAGAAGTTTCCAGATAGTACATGTTTTGGGCCTCTGAAAATTCTTCAGCTCTTTGTTTGGAGACTTCTCTTTTCTCGGCTAAATCAATCTTATTACCTGCATCAATACAATATTTTAAGAAAGGGAATTAATTTGACTTGTAAGACAAAACCAACAGAAATTGATCTGGAAGAAAGGAACCATTTGTCACCATGTGTCTCGTGTTAGATTCTTTATTTTAAACAAACTATTCATCTTATATAGCTACAAAAATAAATGCTCACTCTCCTGTCCCCCCAAAAAGTGGATTCTCTGATAGACAACCAAGCCTTTTTAATATTAGCTCGTTTAATGGAATTTTCCCCAGGAACACGCAAGTCGTTTAGCATTAATTTAGTGCTAATGCACCTGTTTAATATCAATTGGCATTAAAGGATTTCCCTTTTAATGTCTATTGAACAATCACTGGTTCTTGCTCCAAGGAGCACTTAAAATGTCAATTATTGCATGTGGGGGCGCCAAATGCAATATTTTTTTCATATAATTATGAGCTTTAAAAAAGAGACCTGCTCTCCAGTTTTAATTACATATTTTTGTTCATTAAATGGTTACTGAACATGGGGAATGAATGGGTGCTGGAAAGCTGTTAGAACTAGGTGAAGTGAGGAACCCTTCCCCTCAGGGAGATTTCATTTTTAGCTTATGGCGGAACAGATCAACATTCGTGTAGGGAATAAACCAACTAATGATTAATCTGATATTACCTGCAGCTGGTTTGGGAAGAGGTGGGAGTTGAGGAAAGGATCCCTTTCCACTGCCATCATTTCCATCCAACAACCTCTCCTTTACAATGTAATGGTTCATGGACATACTTTATATGAAGTTACATTTATAGAGAGTTAATAAGTGATTACTAGAATATATAAGCATCTTACCAAGTTATAAGCACGTCAGTAGAAGGTGCTACAGATGGTTATAAGCAACCTACTGGATTCTAGCAATTTATTAGCGCATTATTGTTTATTAACCTTTTATAAACTATTTATAAAATATATTGTACCTTTAATCTACAGTGTGAATGGTTTCTTGTCACGGAACCTCCATGTATTTTAGATTGCATTGTTAGTGTGCATTCTGGCACCTGGAGTCTGGGATAAGGGTCTTTTTAATTATTTTTAAATCCAAATAAAGACTAAATACACCAGATTATTCTGTAGAATTGTACTATCTACTCTTTAAATGTTAAGCTATTTAAAAGAGGAGAGGTCTTGCTGTTGAATAACCACTCAACCCACCAGCTGACTAACCCTTTCCCCAAATTATGTGTTCATCATTCTTCGACTATGCTGAGACCTAGTCCCTGGACCAAGTCCCTGAAAAGTGGTGTTTTGACTACTGGATTTGGAAAACAAAGTGCAGCATTGCAAAAATGTTAATGGGCCTCATCACTGTGTATACCTTGGTGCACATTTGTGGTAGCAAACTGGTGTCTGATGGCTGGATTTGCTTCATCTCAAGCAAAGGCACGTTATTCGTGGCATTTTCTTCATTTATATATTTTTTAATTCTCTGAAAATCCATGTGAAATTCTGATTTAGTACCAGTGAAAGGTGTAGCCTCATGGCCCTGGAGACAGAAGCCTTCTGTTTATTCACAGGACAGGGATGGTACAGACAGCGGCACATGCTCTTCTCCACTGCCCGGCACTGTGCCTCAGTAATGAGGGAGAGGAGGAAGACACTCCAGGCTCCACATGCCCACTGAGTCTTTGACCTCTCTGCTGAGAATGCCAATTGGAATGGTAGTTTTTGTGATGCCGACGCCTGTCACTGCAACAGGACTGAGGCCATCAAAGCATAACTTTCAGCCACTACCAACCTGATCTAGATATGAACTGGGAACCTAGAGGTGTAAAGCTCCATTTACTCTTTGTAAACTGCGGCTGCACAGTCAAAGCCATGGGGCTAAATAACCAAACACAGTGGAAGGGAAAGTGAAACAATCGTTAAATGGTTCCTGGTTTGTTTGGGCTTTCTACCTAAATACACCCCTCCATGCTGAACAACCTTATATGGCTTAAGATGGCCAACACTTTGGGAAGCAGCAGTTGCTATTCTGAGTTATATTATTAGTGCATTGGAGGAGTCATTCAGATACAGAAGTTGTCCTGGCAATTTCACTCAAGTGAATGGCTTTACAGTAAGATGCTATAGAGTTATAGGTACAGAACCTACTAGCATCAAGGGGTGTCCAGTCCAGCATATTTGGAGGAGATCCTGGCACTATGAGATAAAATAAATGCAGTATTTTCAATTGCTAATACCTCTATCTGCCAATGACCCCAGTGAAACTCCAGATGGACATGGCTGATTATTCTCTCCTGGCAAAATGAGCGCTTATAAAAGCACAGTCCTCACTTACCCACTAGCACAGTTATGACCTTATTGCTGGCATACTGTTCAATTTCTCTCAGCCATTCGGGAAGGCATCGGAAGGATTCTTCACAGGTTATGTCATAGGTCAATATTAATGCATTAGCGCTGCGATAATAACTCTGCGTAATGGACCGGAATCTCTCCTGCCCTGCCGTGTCCCAGATCTGCAGCTTTTGGCACAACAGGAAGGGGAGAAAGGGGAGGAGAAAATATATATTTTTAAAAAAAAGCATTAAACCATCCTTTACTTAGCAACTGGGCAGCACCTAAATGCTTTCAGGGGAAACCCACTGATGGGAAATCAGGTCACTTTCAATCCCTTTGGCCCCCTCTTCCACCCCACCCCCCATTTTTGTTTCTGTTCCTGCATCTAAAGATTTAAATTCAAGGCACTAAGTCAGCTGGCATTCCAGCTGATTTCCCTTGGAAGCAGCAGGTCTGGAAGCTTTCATGTGACTGTGAGCATTTCAGTAAGCAGTGGAAGTAGTAAGCCATGCTGGCTTGGAATTCTAATGCTGGCATTACAGGGAGAAAACAAATGCCCCCTGCATTGAGGACAATGACAACAGCTGAAAAACAAAGACAAAACATCTCCCCCAGCTGCAAACGAAGTTATCCCGTTTCAAATGACGAGTGTGAAGGAGGAGGGGGTGAGGAGAGAAACCATAAGAAAGAATAAACAGCGTGGGCTTGTGTATGAATTTTCAGCCATGCATCTCAAGGTTTGTGCTCTGCATAGCCTTGCACAGGTCACCTCACTGCTGTCTGTCCCCAGTCTGGAACTGTAAGGAAGGGTATATAACCACTTACCTACATCAAAGGGGTTGTTAAAGCTCTTTGAGATCTTGAAAGGCTACACAGAGTAGAAGTGCAAAGTACTATCATTTACACCATCATCTCAAGGGTGGGGGAGGAGAAAGGGCTTTTAAAATAACATTGGCCCTGATCCTGTAGGGAGCTCTGTGTCCGACCACGGGTCTGCCTACACAGAGATCACTGCAGGATTGGGTCCCTAAAATCATGTTCGCTGGTCAATGGCATTTCAGATTAGTTGCAAGATAACACGTGATCTCAATCCACATGACCAAAAAGGACCCACACTGCAGCCCATGTTTACACTGGGAAAACTAACCAACAATTTCAAAATGGTTCTAACGTGGTTCAGCTAATCTGGTATTAAACTGGGGAAAAGGTATGTAAATATGGCTCAGATGACAGAACCATTTTCACAGAGGTTTAGTAAATCTGCTGAAACGCCAGTCTAATCAAAATGGTACCAATCACTATAGCCTACAGCTGAACCAGTGTTCAAACCAGTCTGAAGTTTGGGTTAAGTTACCTCTCCACTCTATGCAAAGCTTTTAAGATTCTGAATTCTTAAGTGAAGCTCTGTAGCAAGATACCAAGAGCTCAAAAAAACAAACAAGTACATGCGGAACGGTAGATGCAGCCAGAACTACAAGGAATTTCCTACGGCTTAGCAGAAATTTAGAAGGTTTTGTTAGCAAAGCTACATTGTTACTGAAAGAAGAGACGTTGTAGGCCCTGTAGAAATCATGATTATAGTATATTCTACTGAGAAAAGACCTAAAAAACTGGAAGTCCTGTCTGCTCTACACAAACAAGGATGATCTCCTGCCACTTTTCATAAAAGTAATGCCAGAATGCTAATGGCCATATTTCCTTTGCGCCACTGGTGTGCAGGGTGCCGTGCATTGGTTGCTTGCCACCACTAGCACACAGTGGGCTGTTTTCTGCTGCATATATTGAGATTACAAAATATCCTTTGGATGGATTTGGCCATCAACATCTGCCTTTGCAGCACATTTGCCTACGCCTGCAATACATTTCTTGACTAAATTCTAGTAAGTAAATCTAGAGATATCAGTTGACCTTAAAATTTCTCCAAATCATTGGTCTCAGGCCTAAACACAACTGCCTCATGAAACAAAAACGTATAATTTTTATCAGTTGTTAAACTGATGAACTTTTGGTGATCTAGAATAAAAGCCAAGTTTGATTAAATGTGGTCAATGATTCATAATGAAGGAATGTCTCAAATTTCAATATTTTAACTCAATGGGGCACTTCTCTATTTCAGACTTTGATTTTTAAAGTGCCTATCACCATATCTGAACATCTGAATGGTTGAAATCTGATCAGAAAGACCAACATTTTGGCGATCTTTGGTGGAAAAGTTAAAAGTCAATGGGAATTTTTCCTGCACTCAGCAGACCACAACAGAGTGAACAAAACTTAAAAGATTCTAGCTCAAGGGGAACATGGAAGTTAAATTGTGTCAATCACAGCATTACAGGTAATCTATATTATATTAGCTTCTGAGAGATGAGAGCCCCACTTAGCCCATTATCTGATTCCAGGCCTTAGGGTCTGACTTTGAAAAGCTGCCTTTGATTTTGTGGAGAGAAAATTAATTGTGGTACCAATTCCCAGCACTCAGGCATCACACTGCCTGGTCTGTTGGCACATGGTGTTTAGATGGCTAAGTATTCAGAACTGCAGTAAAGTGGGATGCAAAATTGTAAGCACAATTCCTTGCGGGTGCAAGTTAGGTGTCAGGTTGGATCTGCTTTAAAAATCAGGGTCTTTGTAATTTGTTTTTGTTTCTGTGGGTTTGATGTTTCGGTTACTTTAATAATGGTTTACTGATGTGGATACACTTCGTATTTCTGCAGGATATTCTAGGATGATCTCTCTGAACTGAAAATGGCTTTTTGATGAGGATGTTCTATCACACCAACATGATGAACTTTGAAATCGGAAGAAACTGCTTTGGGGAACAACAGGATAGAAGCTCCTGTGATTGGATTTAGCTGTCATTCAACCCACTTGCTGGATATTTAAGTTAGAAGAAAAGCCCTAGAATTTGTGTTCAGTGATAAAAATCTGCTTTCAGTCAAAATGTGTGTGTCTGTTTTTATCACTGTTCAGCTTATCTCTGCCAAAGTAAGTGAATTTACCATCTATATTTTTCCATTTTATGGTCTTCCTAGGGAAGTCAAAGGATGTTGCCTGACTTACACATGAGAACACAAAAAGTTATCTGGATGTTATTTCTTGGGGAAACATCCTACAGGCTCTAGGCACCAACTCTGTGGGTGCTCTGGGGCTGGAGCACCTACAGGAAAAAAAAATAGTGGGTGCTCAGCACCCACGAGTAGCCCCGTGGATCAGCTCCTCCCTCCCCCCAAACCCTCCCAACTGCTAGCAGGCCTCACCAATCAGCTCCTCCTCCTCCTCCCTCCCAGCACCTCCTGCCCGCTGTGATCAGCTGTTCAGCAGCAAGCAGGAGGTGCTTGCGGGGGGAGCAGTGTTATGAAAAGGCGGGGGAGGGGGCAGAAGGGGCGGGAAGGGGCAGAGGCAGGAAGAGGCAGGGCGGGGATGACAGCTTGGGGGAAGGGGTGGAGCAGGAGTCAAGCACCCCCTGGAACTGGGGAAGTCAGTGCCTCTGCTACAGGCCTCAATCTCCAAACACTCACATACATCTCTAACTTCATACATAGGAATAATTCTGTTGAGTTCAATGAGACCACCCCTGTGTGTAAAGTTAAGCACATCCTTAAATGATTGCAGGATTGGGGTTATGTCTGATTACCCCTTTAGCTGCTATCCACTTAGCTTGAATTTATTTTTGTAACCTTTTAGGTATTAATCAGATCTACATAGAGTAGGTGTGGCTTGAGTGTTTTTTTTATTTTGATTTTGTCAGAAAAGATCGGGAAGACCCAAAAACTAGCCTTGGATCACACAGAGCGTTTCATACGCTGTATCACATAAAAGGATATGAAGCGATTCAGAACGTCCTTGTCTTGATTTTTACACTGAGGTCTCTCCCTGAGCTTTCTTTGCTATTCTTCAAAACTGAGATGATTTGTAAAGAAGTCTCACATTAGCAAGTCTGTCTGCACAGATTTTGGAATGCAGTCCTAAAAGCTCTAAAGACATTTTCCCAAGCAGTCTTGAATACCAAGAACTGCTCTATAAATAGTGCTGCTCTCTCATCTTAGCTCTTAACAGTGGTGCAGGAGGTGGGTGGAGTCAAAATATGGGAGCTTTGCAATGAGCTTATAGGCAGAGAAGTCCCTAGTTTGAGTGACATGTCATTTTTATATCTCTACTTTGGGGGCCTGAGTCACACCTGCTTTTCTTGCTAATATGCAAGTATTTACTCCCGTTAGCATTGTTGAGCAAATACAGCTGTGGGAGAGTAAGGTGGATTCTATTCTGCCTCACACATCAAGAAAAATCAATTAAGTTCCGATTGCAGAATCTCTTACTACCCATGCTGATGCAAGAGGCAGAAAGAACCCAGCTTGACTTTCAGATCCCAAGTAGTGACTGGCAGTTAAATCTGCAGGGCCAGTTTTCCCTTTCACTTACACAAGTTTCACACTGGTTTAGCTCCACTGACTGACTTAAACATAGTTGTTCTTGATTTACACCAGTGTGAGAGAAAAATCTGGCTCAGCATCTTTGGATCAGGACCATATAGAGAATGAACATGAGAATTCTTCACTCCTAAATGTCACCTGTCCATAGCACTGCTAAACATAATACAACCCTATCTAATTGTAGGCTGCTTGAAATAAAGGTTGACTGTGTATGAGAGAGAGAGAGAGATCTAGCTATCTATCTAATCTCACACACACACACACACACACACACACAGACACACACATATTAATTCAAATGTTTCAGGTGACCCTATCTGGATAGACTGGGCTGTGTCTGCTTTGTACGGATTCTTGGCCTATAAGTCTTCTCCACTGTACAATGGTGGCATAATACTATTTAGGGCTGGTCTACATTAAGGATTTTTCCACCAGTGTGCCAAACAGGTATAAAGCAAGGATTGTGTCAGTGTCACTTAACCCAGGGTGCAAAAATCCCTAATGCAGGCAAGACCTGTACAAGTACATAATGCTTTCTCTCCTGCTGCTCCCTCCCTAGCTTCAAAGCACTGTGCACAACATCGAGTTAATCCTGGTGGTTACACAGTTGTTATGGCAAGTAAGTATTATCCCCATTTACAGATAGAAAAATGGAGACAGAAAGGGATAGTCACTTGATCAAGGCCACAAAATGGGGGCATTGCCAGAGCCAGAATTAGCACTCTGGTGATTACTGGTTCTCAAGCCTGTGCTCAGATCATATTTTGCTACCATCAGCTGCTTAGTATTTACTAAAGAACCTCCACAAGATACAGGTTTGCACCAGCACCTCACTGACAACCTTCAGGGTGACTTTCCAGTATAAAAAGAAGTTGGAAGAGAGAAACAGGAAACTCCCAAATTAGAGAAGAATGGGCCCAAGATTTTCAAAAAAACTGTTGCCTAAAACTAGGCTCCTACATCAGGGGTGGGCAAACTACGGCCCGTGGGCCGGATCCGGCCCCTTAGGGCTTTGGATCTGGCCCACAGGATTGCCCCCTGGGATGCCGTGGGCTCCGTGCTGCTCTCAGAAGCAGCCAGCACCACGTCCCTGCGGCCCCCGGGTGGGGGGGCAGAGGGCTCCGTGCGTTGCCCTTGCCTCCAGGCACCACCCCCCGCAGCTCCCATTGGCCGGGAACGGGGAACCGCAGCCAATGGGAGCTTCAGGAGAGGTACCTGGAGGCACGGCAAGGGCAGAACACGCGGAGCCCTCCGCACCCCCTCCCCCAGGGGCCACAGTGCTTCCTGGTGCGGCGTGGGGCTGGGGACAGGGCAGGCATGCAGGGAGCCTGCCCTGGCCCCAGTGCGCACCGCTGCCACCCTGGAGCCGCTTTAGGAGCCTGAACGCTGGAGCCCGAACCCCTCCTGCACCCTCCTTCCCATATGTTATCTTGCCATAAAGGTTATGTCCCTTCTAATGCAGCCAAGGTCAGTGAGTGCTGGGCTTATTGACACAGAAGTACAAGCTACATGAGTAAGAGCTGCCTGGTGCCCCTTCCCCAAGTGTATCAATTGATTTTTCTGATCGACACGCCTGTGGATTTCCATTTTTTCCTTCACCTTACATGAGCAATTAGTCTATCAGCCCCACTCATGACTTCCATCTCTCTCTAAGAGGATGAATGTACATTTATACAGCACCCCTATAAAGAACCCAAATCACAAATTATACACATAGACCACCACTGGCCTGCAACCACCCATAGTTTGAGGATAGGAATGAATACACCTCTGCATAACAGGCAGGTAGGAGATGCATGGGAAAATGCCCTTCTTTCTAAGGTCTGGTCTATACTACCCGCCTGAATCGGCGGGTAGAAATCGACCTCTCGGGGATCGATTTATCGCGTCCCATCGGGACGCGACAATCGATCCCCGAATCGGCGCTCTAACTCCACCAACGGAGGTGGTAGTAAGCACCGCCGACAAAAAGCCGCAGAAGTCGATTTTGCCGCCGTCCTCACAACAGGGTAAGTCGGCTGTGATACGTCGAATTCAGCTACGCTATTCACGTAGCTGAATTTGCATATCTTAAATCGACTCCCCCCTGTAGTGTAGATGTACCCTAAAAAGTGCCATGAGAACTGTAATCCCTCTACAGAGCAGACGGGACATCAAGGCAAAAACTTTTCAAACTAAGGAAGGAAGGATGGTCTTGTGGTTGATGCACTGCATCAGACTTCAGAGATCTGGGCTCAAATCCCAGCTCTGCCACAGACTGACTGTGTGACCTTGGGAAAAGTCATTTAGTCTTTTTGCGATTCCTTTTCCAGTTTATAAAATCGAGATGAAGGGTGAAAGAAAGGAAGTAGTATTGTCTGTAGAGATTGTAAGCTCCTACGGCAGAGACTTGTACAAGCCCTAGCACAATGGGGCTGGGGACTCTAGACACTCCTATAATTAAAAAAAGTCGATCATTAGGTGCCTAAATCCCTATTTAAGCAAACTATAGCCTGATTTTCTCAGACAAGCTGAGGACCCCATGGGAGCTGCAGGTTCATAGACTCATAGACTCATAGACTTTAAGGTCAGAAGGGACCAATATGGTCATCTAGTCTGACCTCCCGCATGACGCAGGCCATAAATGTTGACCCCCCCACTTTCCCTTAACTCTGCTGTTGAAGTCTCCAGATCGTGATCTAAAGACTTCAAGTTGCGGAGAATCTTCCAGCTTGCGACCCCTGCCCTATGCTGCGGAGGAAGGCGAAAAACCTCCAGGGCTACTGCCAATCTACCCTGGAGGAAAATTCCTTCCCGACCCCAAATGTGGCGATCAGCAGAACCCCGAGCATACAGGCAAGATTCTCTAGCCAGACCCTCATTTTACCAGCGATGGCCATTATTGCCTAATTGATTAAAGACACGTTCCCATCAAACCATTCCCTTCATAAACTTATCTAGCCTAATCTTGAAGCCAGACAGGTCTTTCGCCCGCACCGTTTCCCTCGGAAGGCTGTTCCAAAATTTCACCCCTCTGACGGTTAAAAACCTTCGTCTAATTTCAAGCCTAAATTTCCCCACGGCCAGTTTATATCCATTCGTTCTCGTGTCCACATTAGCACTGAGCTGAAATAATTCCTCTCCCTCCCTGGTATTTATCCCCTTGATATATTTAAAGAGAGCAATCATATCCCCCCTCAGCCTTCTTTTGGTTAGGCTAAACAAACCATTCTCAGAATATCGGATAAAAATCAGGCCACTTTTCATCATCCAAATAGACTTAGGTATCTGACTTCAGGCACCCACATTTGAAAACATTGCCTTGTGTGTTTAATCCAGACAGCCAGTAATTTGCATCACCTTGGCTCTCTCATCTGAGTACCCACTGGAATACCAGAAGGGAGAGAAGAGAAATCAACTATTTTTTCATTTCTGTCTGTGAGCTTGTACTAATATGGCAGGGAATTGAACTCTAGGAAAACTTCAGAGGTCACCTGAAACCTTCACAACATTGGAGGCATGGATCATCACACTTCCCACCTACCTTGTCACACTAGAGTCACCCAGTTTCTCCCAGGCTGGCCAGCTCAACCAAAATTGGAGGCATTTCTAGGGCCCTTCAGTCCCGCAGAACTCCACAAGTTTGCAGGTCCACACCTGTCAACCTCAGGAGCTCTGCAGGAGCAGCACTGCAATGATTACAGCTGGCGGGGGAGAGCATACCACATCTGAATTAACAGGAGTTCAGTAAATGGAGGTTGAACTGAAATAGTTCTTTGCACGTCCATAAACCCTAATACGCAAGCGCTGTGCAAATATGGATTGAGTTTTGCATCACCCTTCTTCAAAGGTGCACTATTATTATCCTCACAGATGAACAGAGGCACAGCACTGAAATGATATGCCCAAGGTCTCAACAAGTCAGAGCCAGGAATAGGACTCAAGGGTCCAGACTTTTCCAGGCAATAAGGCTACAAACACCCTCTCTCTCCTATATGTCATCACAGCTTCAAACACCCGACAATTGCTTCCACCACAGATTACGAAGAGAGAAATGAATACTGCATGGTTCATCTAAACCCAGACAGTAACACAACCAATGGCAGATTTAGAGTTAGCGGGGCCCTGTGCGCAGCTTCATTTTCGGGGGGCCCCCCTTCAGGACCCAGCCAAGAAAAAGAACATTCTCTCTTATCTCCCACCCCGTTTTTCATTCTTTTTTTCCTTCATCCTCCTCCTATAAGTAATAGGAAGTAAATGAAAATAAAGTGAGGTACTTTGATTGGGGCAGGGGGTTAGGGTGCAGGAAGGGGTGCGGCGGTCAGGCTCTGGGAGGAGGTGAGGAGTGCGGGCTCTGGGCTGGGGCAGGAGGTCTGGGTGTGGGCTCTGGGCTGGGGCAGAGGGTTGGGGTGCAGGGGGGGGGCAAAGGGGCAGTGCTTACTTCGGGCAGTGCAGTTCCCAAAGCGACTGGCATACGCACCCCTCTGGCAGCGGCTCCTAGGCAGGGAGGGCCAGGGGGTCTCTGCGCACCACTGACCGCAGGCGCTGCCCCCACAGCTCCCATTGGCTGCAGTTCCCGGCCAATGGGAGCTGCGGAGTCAGCACTCGGGGCGGGGGCAGCGTGCGGAGACACCCCCCACACAGGCTGCAGGAACATGCCCGCCGCTTCCTCTGTGCCATGCCGCTCCCGGGAGGGAGGCAGAGAGGGCAGGAAGCCTCCTTAGCCCTGCTGCTGGCTCATCTCTGTGCGCCCCTTAGGGGGAGGGGGCAGCAGGTCTCCGTGCGCTGCTTGGGGTGGAAGCAGCGCGCGGAGCCGCCTCCCCACCACCAGGGGCGCGCAGAGAAGTGCCAGCAGCCAGCCGCTTCCGGGAGCGGTGTGGGGCCACCATCCATGGTATGCAGGCAGCCTGCCTGCCTGAGCCCTGCTGCGCTGCCGGGGCCGGGACTCGGGGGCGAGTTGTCAGATGATATTTGTCCTGCATTTTGTGGGCCCTCCTGTCTGTCGTTGGGGGCCCTGTACCACAGCACAGTTTGTTTCATGGTAAATGCGCTCCTGAACACAACGAAGCAAGTTGGTAGTTTCCTACCTTCACTTTTTCACCTTTTATCTCCACAGTCTTAATCATAAAGTCAACTCCGATAGTGGCTCCTTGACCTGGTGGGAAAAGCCCCTACAAAGAAAGCAGTTTGGTTAAAGCAGATTCTGCAGTAAGATAAGAAAGAAGATTTCACTTGCTGATGAATCCCCACCAGGTTTTTGTCCCATCCTTCTTCCTCTTTAATTCTACTCCCCTCTCCCCAAACAGTTCTTTTCCATCAGAGAGAAGTATCAATAGATGGGGAAACAACTCACAGTGATTTGATCACAGTCCATAAGTACCTATATGGGGGATAAATATTTAATAATGGGCTCTTCAGTCTAGCAGAGAAAGGACTAACACAGTCCAATGGCTGGAAGTTGAAGCTAGACAAATTCAAACTGAAAATATTGTGCAACTTTTTAACAATGAGGGTAATTACCACTGGAACAATATAATCAAGGGTTGTTGTGGATTCTCCATCATTGGCAGTTTTAAAATCATGACTGGATGGGTTTTTTTAAAGATACGCTGAAGGAATTATTTTGGGGAAGCTCTATGGCCCATGCTATACAGGAGGTCAGACTGGCCTGAGAATCTATGATCTAGGAATTCAGAGAGACCTCGGTACCACATGTATCAGAGGGGTAGCCGTGTTAGTCTGAATCTGTAAAAAGCAACAGAGGGTCCTGTGGCACCTTTAAGACTAACAGAAGTATTGGGAGCATAAGCTTTCGTGGGTAAGAACCTCACTTCTTCAGATGCTTCTGTTAGTCTTAAAGGTACCACAGGACCCTCTGTTGCTCTGTACCACAGGAGATGCAATCAGTTGTTCTGCCGCCCTAGCTAATGGAGGACTGGACTCTCCCCCCACTCCATACACAAATCTCCAATTGATTGCACTGGGAATCCAATGCATGGAGTGGTAGCAAAATCAACTCTTACGTTACCTGGGACAAAAGAATAACTGATCATGTCTCTTGCTGTACAAAGGTCTCTCCAGTTCAACTCCATAGAGTAAGGAACGTGACAACTTGACTTGTGAGGCAGGGAGGGGGAGGGCAAAATAGAGGAAAAGGGGAACGAGAAAGAGGAGGAAGAAAAGAAAAAAGAACTATAGATGTTTACACCCTTCTCTGAAGTATCTGGTATTGACTGACGTCAGAGACAGGGCACTGGATTAGATTGGCCATTTAGCTGATTCACCATGTCAATTTCTCAGTTCCTAGGAATGAGTGGTGGCAAAAGCTTCAGGAGCATTCATTAGAAGAGAACATTTTGTTATCCCAGCTTTCCATTTCCCCAACACTATCTTGCAACTCTGTGAAAGCCACTTCCCAAGCGATACTCTCACATTCTTGTACAAAGGTTTGTGTGAGTGAACGAACAGTCAGCTGCTATCTTGACAGTAGCAACGTCAAGAGGCTTCAACTTATGTTTCGTGGTACTATTATATAAATAATAAATAAAATACGAATAGCTTTTCAATTGGTTTCTAGGCCTATAGACCTACACAAAGCCCCATTGATTCCTAGCCATATCTGCCTCTGCTACCACCAGCAGCAAGCCAAAGCTTGGAAAGCAGCAGAATTGGCTGCAGATTTTACAGTTTAGCCCCTTGGGTTTAGCTTTAGTGCTGTCAGCTAGCTGCTTGCAGCTGGAAAGGGAGGAAAAGAGCGAGTTTAAGATTTCCAGGGACTTATTTTTAAAACCAATCACAGGGAAAAAGTGCTGAGACTTCAAAGTGAAACTAGCCCTGAAACCATAACTTGTGTTACATACAGTATCATGCAAACTTCCCCTTTACCTCGGTTACAGAAATCCTGCCCCTCCTTTTCCCCAGAAAAGGAAATCAGCCTGAACACTTGTGATTTTTTAAGTTTCTGCAAGGCAAGCAGGGACTTGCACAACCCCCATTTCTATTTTAAGGATTTAGCTGTATGGGTCACAGAAGACAACAAAAGCAGGGGGTTGAGAGGTTTGCTGAGCAACATATGGTCTCGTCTCATCTCCCCTCCCCCCTTTTTAAAGTCATCATTAAATGGCCTTTACAACGCTTGCAAAGCCTAATTTTTAAAGGGAGTGTGATGGAAGGTGCTGCACTGACAACCCCAGACACTGAATTTCTCTATCCAGACAGCAGTTTCAAGCAGCTTTGAAAGCTTCCCAGCCCTCTGCAGGGTTCAGGGTAGAAGAGCAACGGGATGCAGCAAGAGGGTAGTTCAGTCTCCGTGACCCATTCAGGCCTGATCCAGAGCCCATCAAAATCATGCCCATCTATAGTCTCCTCGTTTTTCTCTCAGCTAGATCTGCCAACCAGGGGGCTAGTTTTGTAAGACGTAACCCCTTGCAGGTACACTTACAGCACTAGGACTTGTGCTGGGGACGCTGGTATCACAACAAAGTGCTTTAGCTGATCTGCGTTGCGGGCATGCACCTCAGTTCATAGCCACAGATTCCAAGTTATTTTAGAGACAGCTACTCGTTCAAATGGATTTAGGCACACAAACCCAAAACTGCCCCAATACGCATAGAAGCATTTTCCCCATTAAGAGAAGAAACATCCTACCTGAGTGAAGCGTCGGACTAAGCAGGTTTTCCCCACGCCAGCGTTGCCAATTAAAACAATTTTGAACAGAAAATCATAATCTTCCATACTCATTTACACAGCTGCAAGGGAAAGAGAAATATAAATAAGCCAAAGGGGAAGCATCAGCTGAGGTTCAACCAGCTGGTAAGAGTGCTAGCTCTGCATTGTCGCTTTACTCTCAGGAGCCGGCATGTGATATTCCTGCAGGGCACCACTAACAAATCAATGCGGTTTTCAGATTCCCTTGCAACAGTAAGCGCCTTTGCAATCCGTTTACTTACTGGTGAACTTTACTCCTCCAAATACTCAGGACAAAGGTCGTTACAGAGTTTGCACCGCTGATAAGATAAGGGAATTGCACTTATAACGGTGAGAGGGCTCCTACCTTCCTGACACGGAGGCATTTCGCATGCCCACAAACCTGACCACAAGCCGGCAGAGCCAATTCAACCTTTGCCATCCTGCCTGGCAAAATAAAATCTGTTGTAAAAAGATGACTGAGTATGGACTTTAACTCCATTCAATGGGGTCCTCAGTGTTCAGGCTGCCAACTGTACTGAATTACAGATGGGTTATGAGCCTGCCTTGCTCAGTTTCCGTAAGGAACCCTGCATGCGCTACTACGTAAGCCTTGGAGAGACAGGTCCTAGGTTTCATTAAACATTTTGCTCCCAATGCATCTGGTTTGGACTAAGCCACTAGTTTTCTCTTTCTAAAGAGAACATGTTAGTGTTCATATTCTGATAACTGGGCCCCATTGTGCTAGGCACTGTGCAGACCAATGGCACAGGAGACATCCCGGCCCCAGGGAGTGCACAATCTGCGTCTGGCAGGATGTAACAAGTAGATGAAAAGGAAAAAAATTGGGGGAATGCGGTGTGGGGGGGAGGGGTTAGTAAATAGGAAAATGAGCTAACGATAAAATGAACAGAGTTTGGCATAAAGCCAAAATCGTTGCTCACCACCTGCCTAAGTAATGCCAGGAGGTAGCAACTCAGTGGCACTATGGCTGAGGAAAGATTTTAAAAGAGTGTTTTAAAAACAGGATAAGGTGGAAGGCTTATTATTTTTGTCAGGGAGTTTTCCCAGGAACAGGGGACAGCATGGGAATCAACAGAGAAGCTGGCAATCAAGCCTGCCCTCATTGGCAAGGGGAAGGCAAGGCTGACAACCTAATAAGCTAGTAGAGCAGAGACAGCATTGGCTAAATGGGGAAAGGCCTTATAAGCGTCCTTAAACTGTATTTGGTGGGGTAGGAGGAGGAACCAGCGGAGGGATGCAAAGAGGAGGGTGATGTGGTCAGAGTAATGAGACAGGAAGATGATCCTTGCACCTACTTTTTCAGTAGACAATAAGGTTGGCATCAAGGCCAGCAGAGGAGGAGATTACAGCAGTCAAGGCATGAGATGAAGGTTTGAACAAGAATCTTAGGAATCTGGACAGGTGGAAGAGCTTGACTGATAGAAACATTATGCAGGTAGAAATAGCAAAGCTTGGATATGGCCTGGATGGGTGGCCCCAGGGGAGGGGCTGAGTCAAAAAACAAATGCAGTATGAGCAACACAAGCCTCTCTCCATTAGCCTGCCACTATGCCTCCACCCCACCGGGAGGGAACAGTCCTGAGATTATCATTTGTGTTGCAGCAGCACCTGGGAGTCCCCCAACCACTGCTCAGGGCCCCACTGTGCAAGGTGTTGAACAAACAGAACAAAAAAGACGTCCCAGCCTCAAAGAGTTTACAACCCAAATAGAAGACAAGAGATAACAGGCAGATACAACAGACAAGTTAACAATGAGACAACACTGGTCTGCATGATAGGCACTGGTCACAGCACAAGGGCTGCCCAACCACTGTGGAGTTTTTGGTAGGCATGACGGCAAACGAGGTGAGAGGCCGGCTCAGCTGCTACATCTAGTTAATCCTTGGCCTTTCCACCAAGCCTACAAACCAACAGGCGTCAACAGTTAGTGACTAATGGGATGGTGATTTGCGTGACATACACAAGTGGTCAAGATGAACTGGATTGATTCATTTAATGGACAACTCATTTTGCCAGGGCCAAACAGCATCAGTTGCCAATAACTTACTAATAGATCTGCTGTGACTATGCTCAGGTCTGGTGGATGGTCCCTTGAGTCTACCCTGCACAAGGGCCAAGAAGAGTGTAACAAGCTCCATGATGTCCTTCCAGCCCCATCTTCAGAGTGAGAACTTGGAACAGCAGAGAATCTTGTCCCTTTAAGCCTTTTTTTTTTTTTATGTTAAAGTTTTGTGGAACTATGCAAATGTTACACACCTGGTAACAAACAACAGTGTGGCGGTCTACACTGCCCCCTCGTCACACAAACAGGGGGTAGAGGGCGGAAGCGCACCACCTACGAGTCCACTCCCAGGCTTTCCAGATGACCGGGTCAGGTTCCAAAGTCCAAAACACAAGTGATGGCCCCTAGGATCAGGGCAGTGCGTCCTACCGGCCGGAGTTCAATAGAGCCGACCTTGGAATTCAGGGCAGCGTGGCCTAGTGGCCAGAGTCTAATAGAGCCACCCTTGGGGTGCAGGGCAGCATGGCCTAGCGGCCAGAGTTCAAGGGGGGGGGCATCAAGGGGTGTGGCAGCCCCGGTAGGGGGACCCAGGCCCACCAGACTCCACCAGGCCCTGACCCAGGGCCCTAACAGTGGCGGAGCAATTTGCCACTGACTCAATGGGGAGTCCCCACCGAAACACGCTGAGGTTTCCCGGGTGGGAGGTACTACTCCGTCACCCTCCCTGGGTCACTTCCTACTAGTATCCGCGTTGAGATCTCCCATAAGGCTTCGGATGCTCCGTGGTCTGTTGTGCCGGTCACCTCCTGTGGCTCCTCCGGTCGCAGGGGTCCAAGCAGGCCGAGGGAGGCTCTGGTTCCCAGAGCAATCAGAGGCTGTGGCTGGTCCTCTGCAGGAGCTTCCCAGACAGGTTCTTCCCCTGAAGCCTCCAGCCCAGAATGAGCTGGGTTCCCTCCCTTTATACTGCTAGAGCATTTGGAGCATGCCCAGTCCCGTCTGGGAGGCAGGACTTCTGCTGTCAATAATATGGGGCTTAACCCTGTCTGGGCTAGTGCGGGTAAGCAGACCCTGTGACACACCCTCCTCTTTAAGAAGAGCCTCCGAGGGTGGCTCGTCTCCTCTTCCTCCCCTCCCTGTCTAGAAAAAAAATCTGCATTAACGTGGGTCTTACCCGGATGATGAAACACACAGAAGTCGTAGGGTTGGAGTGAGAGGTACCAGCGCATAATCCGGGGGTTCGTGTCCTTCATGCTGTGTATCCACCTGAGGGGGGCATGGTCTGTGATTAATTTAAAGGTGGTCCCCAGCAGGTAATAGTGTAAGGCCTCAATAGCCCATTTCACGGCCAGGGCCTTTTTTTCTGTTGTTGAGTAGTGTTGTTCCCGAGGAAATAATTTGCGACTCAGGTACATTACTGGAGATTCTTCCCCCTCCAGCTCTTGGGAGAGTACGGCCCCTAAGCCCACCTCTGAGGTGTCTGTTTGGAGTATGAACTCCTTTGCAAAGTCGGGGTGTCGCAGGACAGGTTCCTGTGTCAGTTGCTCTTTCAGAGTCTTGAAGGCCTCATCGCACTGGTCAGACCATCGCACCTGTCACGACTGAGAGTTCTTTGTCAGGTCCGAAATGGGGGCGGCTATGGTCGCGAAGTCTGGTACGAAATGGCGACAGTACCCGGCCAGTCCCAAAAATTGGCGTACGTTTCTTCGTCTTGGGCGTGGGTGTATCCATAAGGGCTTGTACCTTATTAATTAGGGGGTGCAATTTCCCTCCCCCTACTACGTACCCGAGGTATGTTACCTCTTCCTGCCCGAGATGGTACTTCACCGGGTTGGCCGGCTTCTCTAAGAGCCTGGAACACCCCAGCAAAGTGTTGTAGGTTGTCCTCCCAGGTACTACTGTAGACTACACTGATCGTGAGGCAGCAAGATCTTATTCATCAGCCGCTGAAAAGTAGCTGCAGCCCCATGTAGCCTGAATGTGGAAGAGGCCGAATGGTGTCAGAAAGGCCGTTTCCCCCCCCCCCCCCCCGAGAGTTTGGTGTTAGGGGAATGTGCCAGTACCCTTTGTTTAAATCTAGGGTCGACAAATACTTCACTCCCCCGAGTTGTTCTATGATTTCTTCTATATGGGGCATTGGGTACGCATCAAACCAGGAGATAGCGTTGACCTTCCGGAAATCGATACAGAATCGAGTGGTCCCATCTGGTTTTGTGACCAGAACGATTGGGCTTCGCCATTCACTCTTCAAACCCCTGACCACCCTCATCTCAAGCATTGTATCCCGTTCCTGTCGTACTGTAGCCCACATCTTCCAGGGCAGCGGTCTGTGGTCGGCCCTCACTCTCTGACTGGGTGTTGTCGCAATGTGATGGCTCATAAGGTTAGTTCATCCCAAGCGAGTTGATAGAACGTCAGGGAAGTCCCTTATGAGCTGCTGTATTTGCTCCTGCTGTGCAGGGGCAAGGCCTTCCCTGAGCGTAGCGGCCTTGGATCCGGGGGTTCCCCCATTAGGAGTCCAAGTTCTCAGTCTGGGGCAATGAACAAGGCCTCCCTGGCCCTCAAAAGATTCACGCAGTACGTACGGGTCTCCCTCTGTCGTCCTGGCAGCCAGACTTCATAATCTACTGGTCCAACCCGCTTGGTTCCTCTGTTATAGAGCCGTTCTTGTGTCTTTGGGGCCCACATCGGGTTCTCTTGGGTGAAAGCACCTAGGGCCCGGAGCCACTCTCGGAGGCGTAGCACATACTGGGTAGTCCTGAGTACCCATGTCTCTTGTGCCTCCCAGTCTTCTCTCAGGAGGTCAAGGATCTCTCTGGGTTGCCTGCCATACAAGAGTTATAGCGAACAGCAGGGCTGGCAATAGTGCATTCCAATGACTGGGGTTCTCCTCCACGAATTTCCGCAACATGGACTTCAGGGTACCGTTAAAGCGCTCTGCTAGACCGTCCGTTTGTAGGTGGTAGACTGACATCTGGAGTGTCCGTATATTCAGGAGGTGGCACAGCTCTACTATCAATTTAGAGGATACGTTAGTGC